TATTTCCTGTTCTTATGCCAATCCACCACATATTCACATAATATGTAAAACATATCTGTCTCAGGTATCTGTCACACCTAGCGTGTCGCTTGACAACAAGAAAAATACCTTGATCAATAATGATACTCCACTCTTTTTTTCTCACTGACTAATTTTCTCACATTGATTATGGCATTTCATTTATTCCTATCTCTATTCAATACAAGGATATTAATTTCAGCAAAGACAGCAATAAACAAATTTTTTTAATTAATGAAAGATTGCAAGAAAAAATGTATTTTATTCATATAAAAATCGCTTCAGATAAAACGCGATTTTTGAAATAAATTTTATAAATTCCATCATTAATTCCTATACTTGCATCTTTCTCGTTAATTTTAATTTATTATATCTTATAATTTATTAATATATCGTCAAATAATTTTATAATTTATAGCGTGTTACAGTATTTAAAAAAAAAACTTAATTTCTATCTCGAGAATAAACTCAAGGACCAAAGGATTCCAACTACATAGCTGAGATATCGATTGACATTCCCATGTGGAAACGTATATCGAATACCTTTATATGCGTGCGAACATGCGCGGGGAGAAGTAAAAACGATAGAAGGTACACAATGCATTTTGCTAACGATCGCAGAACTCGACTGCAGATAGATAGTCCGAGGCCGAACATGAATGCTAATGGTCGCAAAGTTCGTTCTCTAATGAAACAAATAACGTGTCTCGAGAAAGACGTCAACAATTTATGATACCTTGTATAGTTACTAATTATTCGCGGATATGCAACTTCTTTTTTTGCGCCAGTGTTATTTCCATTATCATTATCATTGTGGATCAGGAGGACTTTAGCGCGGATCGATCAATCGACCGACTCCTCAAGCCGATTCTGGTAACGAATAATACAAATGTGAAACAAGCAAGTCAGTCTTTGACTGACACGACACAAAAGAAAACGCGGCAGTTGTTGATTCTGCTAGTGAACCGGCCGATCAATCGACTTTTCAAGCAAATGCATAATGGGTACAAAAAATTGAACGTTCGATATTGATTTATACTTTATACTTTGAACGAAATATAATTAAGGTAGTATAAAAATATTTTCAAGAAGTGAAAAGAAATGTTAAGTACTTGGAAAAGAGATACATAGAATATAATCTTCCTAATCACGTAAAATTGTTAAATTTATAATATCAAATTATATCCACTTTGAGTTATTTTTAATCATATTTATAAGTTACCATATTTATAAGTCCTACTAATTATATTAACTAGATTAATTGTAAAACAATAAAGTTAAATAATTTATAATAAGAAAATGTATTAAATTTGATTCAAATTTAATTTATTTAGTTATTTATTAAATGCACGAATGATGTTTACTTGTGATACTAATTACAGAAATGAATTAATTTACATTTTGACACAGATGGAAGTTAAGAATAAGAAAATGTTATTTAACTCAAGAGATTGGAACATCATTACTTCCATATCAATAAAGACTTGAACTCTTCCGATTTTCTAATTTCTTCTTTCACTTCTCTCTATTTTCTTGCTTTCATCATCTTTTCACGTTTTTATTCTTATATAAGAGAGATCGTTAGTTCGGATCATATGCTCTTTGCGCGCATTTTGAAGATGATCATGTCCTCGAAGAACTTACATAAGATGTCGCAAAGGTCATAAGGAAGAAATGATAATCCCTAGTTAGTGATTCTAATTCAGGACGTTGGCATTTGTCACGAGACTTTAAAATTAAAATTCTGTTAAGGTAAAGTTCTATTAAAGATCCAGGAAGAATATTATGGAAATGGTCTGTTACATCATCATGTGGTTGCAAGAATAATAAAAGCGTAACGTGATTCTCTTCGTCGGAATTAATCTTCAATCGTGACGTCTTTCTCGAACTAGGCACGCAATCAACGATTGAAGCTACCTTTGATGAATTTGCTGATGATAGTATGATACACGAAGACAAGCTCCGTGTTTGTTGAACGGCAAATACGTATTATTGAGTGACAACGCGCATAAAAACATGACAACTTGACAATTCATTGGTATCTACAATACATTCATCATTCTGTAAACAGAAAAGAAATCAAAGAAGATTAAGAGAAATTAATTCAGATGACTTAAAAAATGGAGATGAAATAAACATAAAATCCTATTTAATATAAAAATATACATTTTATTATACTTATTCAAGAGTACTTGACGAAGAGCTGACTGTACGCTTTGTCTTATTCTGATAGAGAAAGATTTCCTAATTTTTTGGAAACGCCTGCGAATTAATCCTCATCAAATACCATAAAAAAAATATTTCATGGTAAATACATGACTTTCCTTGAAATCAAAACTTTTTATAGTACTCTTAAAACTATAAGGATATTGTAAAGAAAGTAACGCTTGAGTAATATTTATCCTTTGATACCCTAAGAATTAATAATTCATGTTTTACAGCGATCAACACCGAAATTATAATTTCAGGCCACGCTTCATTTCATGCAAGCGATGCAACGGATCGGATACCTGAGTGAAAAACTTCGGACCACATCGGGAACTCGAGGTGAAAGTAACTGAACGAACGCCTACGAATTTGTTTGTGTCGCTGTGAAACGACAACGTCCTTAAAGTGTCAACGTTTTATTGTGGTCGACGTAGTTGACAATGCATCGGCGCTGAAAAAGACACGAGGTGAAGCAACGTCAGAGTGTCATCTGAATATATCGCAATGATTCAGTGTGGCCGACCGTGCACGCGATGACACATCCATTGAATCAAATTAAGAGCAGCGACTAGAGCCGTGACATTACTCGCGATGATCGTATTAATCGCAGCCTCCCAGTCCAGACATCTCGATTCATGTTTTCGAACGTAGTGTACCACGCCAGTTGAAAGAGGCAAATAAATTGCGAAATCAGTAAAATATGTAAATAATTTTGGGAATCGATGAAATAAAGACTGCTATAGAGATGGATTATATAATTTTTTCTCGGAATGATTGTTATTAATGATTGAACTCTCGGACGATCCGAATTTTCTCGATTCCTGTTCTTGAACGCGGCGAACCAAGAAATGTGTCAGCGAAGAAAAACAAGATTTGAAAAATAAGAATCCACTCGCGAAAAAAATCTAAAACAGAAGTAAATTGAAGAAATTAATGATTTATTCTTTTCAAAATAACCGTGACGTCACAAGGATGATCAAACCAATCGCGAATCATTCAGAAGATATGAATCGCAAGTTTAACGATGATAGAGTTATTTTAACCTGTCATAAAGTTTACTAAAGTCCATTCTTGATTTATGATCAATTATAAATAATATTATGTGTGCGTATATTTTTTATGTGTTTCTCTTAAAGTATTTTTCATATTATGTGATTACATAAAATTATAAATAGAATTTTATATTTTTCTAGAATTGTGATATAAATTTCAAAATTACCTAAAGTAGTTTAGTTATGCCATCACAAAATTTTACTATAAATCTTTTTTATATCATGGCTAATATTTCATCAATAAAATATAGATAATATTAAAGAAAACATAATAATGTTTAATGATATTTAACATTACACAAACTGAAATCTTTTACATTAACTTTACCTGTAACTTTTGACTTTCGAATTTCGAACTTTTAAATTGATCATATAATATTTGTTTACTATTAAATATGTTTTAAACAATTCAAGAATTATTGTAAGAAATTCAAATATATGTTAAAAATTACCTATAAATCTGCAGCAGAATTCTTTCGTGTTGATTTCATTATCGCTGTTTGAATACATATTATTATATTATTATTGTGACATTTATCGATTCGTCATCAACAATCATCGGTCACATTACACATCAATTTAATCGTCAAATATGCACAGTTAATATGTAAACAATGTAACGAACATCTTCGAATATCTCGGCGATAAACGCGCGTGGCATACATGACGCTCTTTTTTCGACATCCAGTTGATTTAGTCGCTTATCGTGTTCATGCAATGTTTTGTTGTTTAACCAAGGTAAATGTATTTTAGAAGTATGCAATAGACACTCAAAATATCGAACTGAATATTTTTTTAAATTAGGATTATGTATGTATGTGTTCTCATTCTTTTTTATCAGAGTTTAGCTAGAAAATATCTAATTTATTGAAATTTTATAACTCGATAATTTTTACAGCTTGCGCTAGAAAAATTTATATTCGGACGTAAATATTTAACGCAAACACTTAATTATCAGTAATTAATATAATTACTAATTTTATTCAAAATGTTGACAACACAAAAATAATAAATTAAAAACTGGTACTCTACGAAAGACATTCTTTACAAAAAGGATTTATATAAGTTAAATGTACACCGAGAGAAAAAAATGCAACTAATTTATTAATTATAATTTAATTATAATTTATAACCATTTTCTGGAACTACTATATATTTATAATTGTTTTAACTATGGAAATATAGTTATATATCAGTCAATTATACTATAAATAATAGTCACACAGTGTTTGAGAATCTTAGTTTGAGAAATTTAATTTTTTCTTAATATATTTTTTAGTTATTATTACATAAGTAATAAATTAATTTTCAAAAAATGATTATATTGAATATTCAAAATTATCATAATTTATAGTACTTTTTTTTTATGTTTAAGAGAATTATACATAAATGATAATTATTGTTAATATCATAATCATAGTAATCATAAAAATAGAACTCCTAACTATAATCTGGAGATACTGATAGTGTCTCGGCGCTAAACCGACACTTATTTTTACCATGCAAACACCAACACAAATACCAACCACCTTCTCTCAGTATATACAGATGTGATAGAATACGTTTACATTAATGTGCCAAAAGTTTCTTTAAATTTCAAGCCAAAGCGAAGGACATTTGTAAGATTGACATCTTAGAAGTAACATTTATATCTTTGAAGTTTTCCACACTAAAACAATCGATTCATGTCACGATCGAATGGATTAAATATTTTGTACGTACACCATCGTCTAAGGAAACCGCCCTGCAGTTTAGCGCAGATCCCACGATGCACCCTCATTCTGAGTAGCGTTCACCGAGCGTTCACCCCGAGAGCACAGCACAAGAGGCGCGAAGCGCAAACGCGTGTTTTCTTTCTGCCTCCTCTCTCTCCAGTGTTCCACAGCGTCTGGATACGCCTTTGAGACGCACGCTGCGTCATGCACGAGTAACAATCGACTTGTCAAAGTGGATTCTTTCGAGACCTCATTCAACGGCTCGCGCGTACGGTCCACCTCGTCCTCGCGGCACGCGGCGTTTTCTCGCGGCGACCTCGAAGCGCTGGCTTGCCTACCAACTGGAGAAAGTCGGTCCTTCTCTCGCGGTGCGCTAAGTGTGCCGGTCGGATCGTCGGCCGTTATTATGTACCGGAGATGCTGGTACGATCCGGGTATTAAAAAAATAGCGCGCTTTTACTTCTCTCTTTTTTACTCGCGTCGATCGTTCGTCGTTGTTTTTGCTCGTCGCCCGAGGAAACGTTCCTCGTAAGTCAGGACATATCCCATGGATCCTTCACGTTCACGGCCGAATGATCTCTCACGGTGATATCAACCAAGATCGCGCGATTCCTGCACGAGACAAGTTGGAATATTCGCGGCGACTACTGCTGCCTCCTCGATCGCTGGTGGTCGCGACAGTGATCGTGTGAACAATCAGCGATGATGATGTATCTCGGCGAGGAAGAGGCATGCGATCTAGGAAGAAGGAGGGACGTAGAGATGCAGATAGGAAAAAAAGAGAGAAGGCGAAGAAAGGAGAGGTCAACGAGAGAATCGATTGAGAGAGATCAAGAGGAAAATAGAACGGAGATGAAAGTAAGAAAAGGGAAAAAGAAAGGAGAGGAATGAAATTGATGCAAAATCAAGCGGAACCGAGGAATGTGTGTACCTCGAGGAGGAAGTGGATGAGCGTGTGATGGACGATCTAGCGCGAGTGTGGACGATCTGGCGAACGTGATGCGATCGATGTGAGATCGGCCGAGACACTGCGGGATCGCCGATCCACGGCACGACACTCAGGTGAACGATTTATTTCTGCCCCCACTTGACGCTCCACTTTGCCCCCTTCAGTACGCCCGTTCAGTGTCTACTACTACTACTGCTCCAACTGCTTCTGCATCGCCGTTGTTCCACCATTCTTCGCGGCCCCCCTTACGGTGCTTCTACTGCATGACTGTTGCACAGGAACGTTTTACCTCGCTCGCGGACCCTATTTTGTTTCCTTTATGAATGAAATTCGTTTCTTAATTTCTTTCATTTTTATCTTTTCCCGTTTGAAATATCGGTTTTAAGTGTGCTCGAAATAACATAAAAAAAAACACAGTCAAAATAATAGAGATTTTGGAATAAATAGAATAAAATTCCCTTGTCAAAATTAATGCAAGACTATAAATTACACAAAAATGTTATTATATGCAATAATTACTTGGTTCAAATATTTCAAAAGTTCATATATTTATTATAAAGTTTATCACAAGCATCGAATTTCAAAACAAATTTTAAATTTTGAGTTTAATACTTCAGTATCATCAAATTAAAATAAATTCGATTTGTTCATAATATAAAATCGCTTCGATTAATTTTATAATATTCTTCAAAAAAAATTAATTTTTGTTTTAAATACATAATAATGATCATTTTTTTTTAATTTGTAACACAATTATATTTTAAGAATATTATCAAAGAAATATTCTTTTTAAAGATAATCGTTACTTAAAAGAAAGAAAGTAAATTGAGTAATCACTTTTTTAGCAATAAAATTTTTCTGTATATTATCAAGTATACAGTTTACGACGGCTTATAATAAATTTTTGTGATAAAATAATTAAATAATTAATCAATACTTATTTGATTTTAATTCATAAAATTCAAAAATAGATAAAAATCTGAATATATCTTCTGAACGAATTAACATTAAATACTTCAGATATTGAAGTTTCTATAACTTTCGCACATCATAATAACTCTTTTGAAGATAATATATCTTCTTTTCTGTATTTTTTTATCCAGCCGTCACAAATCCTGATATTTATGCGTTCTTGTGTCTCCATCATCAAAATCTATCGCCTCCTCTTGTTTTCTCCATTACGCTTTATTCTACGATAAATCCTCTTTTTCGGTTCCCTCTTCGTGTGGAACTCCCCCTATGTGTGAAATCGCGAATCCTTTCTTTCCGTGCTTCCCCATTGCGACCTACCTCCCCGATACGGCTAATTTGACAAGCAATAATAACAATTCGGGGGCTGCGTAGGTGGAGCACGATTACCTTCCCGAACGTTACATGTTTTATAGACTTTCGGATGGTTCGTCCATGCGACGAGTATATTTGTTATTCTAGAACTTGACACAAAAATGTCGTGGACTTTTCAACATATATGAAATTCAACTTGAAAGTTGATTTCTTTTAACGATTATATTATTCTTTTTATATATTGCCATAGGCATATTATTTCATAAACTCTTTTATTATAAATTTTGAAAGCAAGAGATTCTCTCTTTTAAGTTTTATATTAATAAGTTTTAAATTATGAATTTTTTAAAAGATTTATACTAAAAATATTTTAAAAGATGTTTAAAAGATGTAAATCTTCCTTACGTTACAAAAACTACTATTAAAAATATTTGCATACTGTAAGATTCATATCAGGTAAAAAATTGTTCGCATGAATATGTATAAATATATATAAACATACATAAACATGCATAAACATATATAATTATATATAAAATATGTCCATACTTGTTCATACATTCTTCTTTCTTTCATAAAATTAGTTTTTAGTATATTAGAAATAATAATAATAATGTGAAAACATAAAAAATATTAAATGAATTTTCGCATTATTTATTTTAGAAAAAAATAAGTTTAAAAAAATATTTAAAAAATTGCTTATACATAATTATGCATAATTATATTTATATATAATTATATATAAATAATTTTTTTACATTTTTTCAAACTTGATTTTTTTCTAAAACAAATAGTGCGAAAATTACCTTTATAATTATTTTTAATGTTAATTTTCACATTACATTATTATTTCTATTACATCAAAATAATTTTATAAAAGAAAAAAGAATGTATGAACATGTATGGACATATTTCATATATAATTATACATTTATGAATATTTATGCGTGTTTGTATGTTTGTACATATTTATATATATTTATGCATGAAAAATTTTTTACCGGGTAGCGATATGTTCCATGTGCCACAGAGTTTTGCTACCATCAACTGGTTACCGCTATTTTACTCACGCATTAAAATCTCTTCCTCTCTTTCTCTCGAAACATATGGAATTTATCATTAATTTGCTATTATGATATGGTTACATACAAAATTTTGCGAAGATCAATGAACAGAAAGGTTGTAATAGGATATCGCAGAATCTCGCAGAGATCGAGAAAGAGGTCTTCCAAAAATAACCCGGTTTCAATTTCCGCTACTGCGTTCATGATTGACAATCGCCAGCCGAGAACATCGTAATGGTAGGCGATCGAGGACATAAATCTAGGTTAACGCTAGGAAAACTACGAGTTTTTGTGAGAGGCTTCTCCTTCCGACGTTCGTTATACATTATCTCGTCTCTCAAGTTTCTTTAATTTGACTGGTCGATTGGACAGCGACGATGAATATTTAAATTTTTAAAAAAGTGATAACATCAAAATGCAAAAAAGGCAAAAAAAGGAAAAAACAAATATATAATAAAAATAAAAAACCGTTTACACGCCCATGAAATTTCGTGCGTTTTTTTTAGATCTTCGAGAGACATGCGTATTCGCAAAATAAGTAAAGGATTACATTTTTCTATAAATACGCGGAACTTTTTGCTCGAGTGTTGTCGAGTGTATGTCTTGTGTGCGGAAAAGTCCACATTGCAATTTCTTAGAAGTACACTCCGGTTCTCTGCATCGAGCATTCTCTATGATTTTATGTAGCATTTAGCTTGTGAATGCATGATTAGATATTAAATCCACGTTCTAAAAGATTAAAGACTACCTAGAAAGATTTAATAGCTATAAGTTCAAATGGCACTCGAACCAAATGATTCAGATGTTTAACGTCAGAATTAAGAACTGAAATGTCAATTTTTAAGAGTGGAGTATCCTGCGCCAAAAGATTCTATAGTCAAACTGCTCAACTTGCGAAAGATTAAATTTAAAAATTAATAGATATATATAAGTTAGACATTGATCTAACTACTCACTTACCAAAATAATAAATAGTGTTCTATATATGAATCGTTAATTATTCACTGTTAAATATTAAAGAAGCAACATAAACCCTTAAGTTAAATAATGTTTTATTATTTTTAATTTTCATGCGTATCAAAATGTAAATTAATTTATTTCTAAGTCAGTTTTCAAGCAAACAATGTTCACAATTTATGCACTTACTAAATAATTAAATACATTTAAATTAAATTTGATATATTTTCTTGGGTTAAATTGTTTAACTTTATTGTTTTAATTAAATTAACGACATATTATATGACAAATAAAAGCAATGGCAACCTAGAAATGATTAGAAACTACTCCAACAGCACAAAACTTATTGTTACAACGTGTAATATTGCAGCAATATTGCTGCAACTTTTGTTTGCTGTTAGGATATTCAAATTGGATATAATTTGATAATATGAATTTAACAGTGTTTTTTATAAACTGACAATATCGTTTAATATATTCTATGTAAAGTGAAGCTTTGAAGAAGCCTTGCAATTATCAAACAAATGGATTCTATTGACTCACAAAATCAATATTTCAATCGATCTTATGTGAATGTACGTCAAGCAGATCGCTAAAGAACTTCTTATCGCTCAAAACACTTCAGTAATTACAGAATTATTACGTAATTACGATCTTTTTTCTTTTCGTAATTGATCTTATTTCAAGTTCGAACGAGCCTTGACTCTTTAATTAGAGGATAATTAATTTCAGTACTGTGCAAACAATAGCTTCCGCGGCATCAACAAATCCTAACAGGTTGCTTTCTAGAGGTTGCTATTATTCGTTTGTGCAAAACTGAGAATAATCCGACATAATTGCTATATTCTCCTTCGACTTGACATTTTCTGCATACCGCCCGATGTGTTACGTAATATCGTAGACTTCGTATCGTCATTACTTATTAAAAAAAAAAAGGATAAAAAGAAGAATAAATAAGAATCTTACATAAAATTAATTTTTATGAATATGCTATTTTTATGAACATATTACTTTAAACCTTTTTTTGTTTAACGTGTTTGTGCTAATAATGATTATTAAGTATAATATATCTGTTAATAACAACTTTTTACTTCGTAATCGTATAAAATATTCTGATATTTTTAAACGCTATTCTTTCTACGATTATTTCTACGATTATAGGGTAACTCCGGCATATATATCGCACTTATCAAAAATTTAATTTATTAAGTATTATTTACTATGTTTAAAATAAACGAACTATATCAGTAAAAACTTTGTACTGTCTACTATTACGAAAAAAATATTAGAAATCTGAAATATTTATATTTCGTATTAAAAAATGAACTTTTTAATCCTTGCATTTTTGTCATATATCCCATAGGGGTGGGATATATGGTTACTCATAGGGGAAGAAGGGATATGTACGGCTCATGAAAAATTTACAAATAATGCATATAAATAAGACATAAAATGACACAATAACTTATAAATACGTTTATAAAATATTATTAAGGAATAAGATAAGGAATAAGATGATAAATATATATTTGAAGTAGATGTAGAATAAGTAATAATTACAATATTCTCACATGTATTACAAGTGTTATGACATGAGGTACATATTTCATGTAATATACGTTTATTGTATTTAGTGCATTGAATTCAATGCGTATTTTGTATGCTTTGGGCATAAATCCCTGCTAAAAATGCCGTGTATCCTAAACAGAGGGGTATACAAGGGATATACAAGACAACAAACAAAGAATACAAGAGCAAAAAATATTTATATTTTGTTATACAACATGCTTTACTATTCCTCTACACTC